TCAGGCACAGATTGTGGCGCTCATTGGCACGCAGCACCTGTTGGAGGATGTCATGGTAATCCGGAGGGTTTCTCTGTGCCTCAGGACTGTTGATGAACCGCTCGATCTGACAGGAGGACGGATCAAACGTTAATTCTGGCAATATTTTTTACCATCATCTGCCATCTAGTGACAGAAACATCTATAACTTCAGCCTTTTATACTTTATTACATAAGCAAACTAAGTCTTGTTTAACCTTCTGCCATATATAAGGTAGTATTGAATTTATGTTTCTGGTAGTATTAATGTTTTGAAATATAAAGTGATGTTATATAATATATTATACCCATTAATGTAAACCCTAGCGGATGCAATTTGATGTCAGACTCACTACTGAGTGAACATAGCGATGTACTGAAGTATGTGACGGAGGAGAAGCCGCCATGTCGGTTCCAAACTGAAGACTTGTTCTTTCTGGCTTTTTTATAATAACATTATATTATCTACTGAAGCTGACTTAATCAGATTAATTTTATTAGTAATTCTGCCACAACATCACAAAGACTCAACTGGAGGATCTCTCAGAAACGAGACCGCCAGACCAGACTAGGAGACCTCGTCTGCTCAGCAACCAAACCGCTTCCACAGAGTCACCTGGGAGCTCAACCTGCAGCTGGGTTCCTGAACAGCGGAGCCCCAAGAGAGTGAGGCCTGCACCTCCCGCTACGCTGCAACAGCGGATTAAACAACAAACTTCTGGGAGACAGAGCTCAACGTCTCAATCTCTGCAGATAAAACGGTTCTATCTGATATTTAACATTAGATACTAATCATTTAAATCGATAATGTATATTTTAGTAGTTTAGTTCTTGTGAAAAACAACCAAAGCATAGCCAAGCAGCTGCTTTTGACTGATACAAAACAAAATTATTGATATAATATGAATAAAGGTTTAACTGGGGCATTTCTAGATTCTACTTATATCTACTATTTTTTAAGTCCTGTTTTGAATTATTCTCTAAGTGTTTTGAAATGGCATCAAATCCTGCTGATAGTAATAATACTGGTGTTTATGCAAAACCAAGGTCTGCAACTGGTTGCTGTAATGTTTTTACATTCCAGTTTCAACATGTTAGATAGTAGAGACGTGTAGTCCTGGTTGTGACACACAGACAGAATGAGACAAGTCACATTAATTACTCAGCTTATAGGACAATTATTAAACCATCTAAACCAACAACAACCAGCTCACCCTCCTGTTGATCTCAGGATAACGAGTGCTTTTGTAGGAGATCCTCTGCTCAATGACTCGGCCTGTTAGTGTGTGGCAGCCCTTTAGTTCACACAGTTTTTCATAAATCTTCATCATCTGGAAAAGAAGAAGAGGAAGAAGAAGAGGACAGGTGTGACTAGATGTCCCACAAACTGGTGTAATGGTTCTCTTTACAGCTTTCAGCCCTCTTTACAACAACTGGAGCCCAAAGCTGCATCATACTCATGCTGACCTTGCGTTTGAGCTTGTGCTCCTGGATGTATAAAGATGCCTCGTTTCCCAGGTCGTCTAAACTCAGCTCGGCCTGCTGGAGGCGCCGGATCTCATCGTTGTACACCTTCAGGAGGTTTTCCAGGTACGCGATCTGAGAGGAATTGAAAACAGACATAATGGGTAAGGTGTTTTTGACAAGAATGAAAGGAAACAGAAGGGAGAAAACAACATCACAATGTGGCCTGTAATAGAGTTTTATATCTACCTCATTACAACTTTATTCACTGACTCAGCTTTACAGTGTTTATTGGTGGACTTTAGTATTGACCTTTCATCATTCATACTTTCGTTCTCTCTGTGATTTTATTTTCTGTCGTACTTTGAAAAGTGCTTCATAAACATTGAGGCAACTTTTTAAAAAGAGCCACACAAATAAAATGTATACTCAGCGGCTAAATTAAAGGTCGTCATCCATCAAAAATAATTCAAACTTGTAGTGACTGACCTGTTTCCTGGATGCCCTCTTTGCCTTTTTCTCCACTTCCTCAGTCGTCTTGTCCTCCTGCAGCCCTGAGGTGGAAGGTTGCTTATCCTCCGCTCCAGGTTTCACCCCGTCCTTCTCAACTTTAGTCTTGTCTTTACTTTTGAGCGTAACAGAGGTAGACTGGAAAGAGCTTGACGTCGAGGTACAAGGCCCAGACTCAACCTTGGTGAGGATCTGCCTCTTCTTGGCGGCATTCTGCTTGAGATGAGTGCACAGTTCGTTGATGTAGACGAAGGTTTTGGAACGGTTGGCCTGGGTGCGAGTCAAACATCGTCCCAACGTGTTCCTGAACTCCACAGATGACAAATACTCGGGGGAGGCCTTGGAGTGCTTCGTTTGGAGGAAGGTCAAGACCTCGGGGCAGTCCTGGGTGAGAGCGGAGCAGTACTCAACAAACTGGAAGGAAGGAGAAAACAGGAAGGATGACAGAGGAAAGACAAGAAGAGAAAGGAAGGCAGAAATAAATAACAGGAATACATAATAAGCATATTGTTTACACCCAGTTCCAATGTTCTGTTAATATAATTACAACAACATACACAGTCGGGAATGAGCAGCCACTTTGTGCCCTTCGCTCACCTCAGTGAACAACTTCTGATTCTCCGCCTGCAGCACATGCGTCTGCTTCTTCGCTGAGGCGAACGGCGACTGGGTGATGTGGGTGGCGACGGGCTGCTGGGCTCTGAGCGACGAGACATTCTTGGACTGACGCCGAGAGGACGAGGTGGACGCGGAGCAGGAGGGCTGAGGAGTCTCCTCTTCATCGTCATCTAGGACTATGATCTTATCTGCCATCGAGGCGGGAGCAACCGCCATCCAAAGAGTTGGTTATTCCTGTTTTCACAAAGCACAAACGGGGAGAATAAAATGTGTTCAGGTTCTTCTCGTGCTGAGAAACACAACAGTGTCTTCCCTCAAGTAAAAACATCATATCTGACCCTGACTCCATCATCATCTCGTCCCAGCGTCTCAAAACTCAATATTTGTGTCTATTCTTTGTCTTATTGATGATCTGTCGAATAAATGTTTAATAGATGAATCATTGTGAATATATAATGACAGAAAATAGTGACAAATGTCCATCCTAGTTTTTAAAGTCCAGGTCTTTAATGTTTTACATCGTCAGTCAAAGATTGAAGAAAGACTGAACGCAGCACTTTCTGCTATTTCAGCCTGAAAAGATGATTCATCGATAATCAGATGAGTTGGCGATTACGTTTCTGCTGATTAACTGAAACACGATATAATCATTAAAATATACTACATACTTCTAAAACGGCACTAAAACATACTGGAATCTCTTTTCTTTGCATTAATAAATAGATAAATAGATATTTATTACATCTCATCTCTCGGCTCTTTATTCTTAAATCTAAACCTCCAGACATCCGATTAAACATCGTGGGAGATATAACGGTCAGGACGAGCCTTCAGTCGGAGGATTTTGTAGAGATGCAGGATCCTCTTTGTTCAAAATGAATCATGAAACCATTATTGGACTGAACGCTGTCGAGCTGGACATCTTTTTAAAGTCAAACCCAGTGAGGACATTCACGATTATCCCGATTCACAAATATCACGATAATGGAAAGTCTTTTTTTATCGTGATACGCGATAATATCACATATCGTCTTATCCCTACTCTGACTAAATGTTTACTGATCAGCTGATAAAGTAGTAATTATGAAGATAAGTGTTAACAGCAGCTGTAAACAAAGTGTCTGAGTCTGTAAAGCTCACACACAGATTACAACAATAAACCAGCACAAAGACACACGACCAGAATGAGTTACTGTCTAACTCTGCTCCCTCATTCAGAGACAGCAGACAAACCCAAAAAACATAAACACTGCAGCTGAGGAGTGAAACTGAGGACAAAGTGTGTCACAGACAGACGGTTTAAACTGCACCCGAGCTGCCGTAGCGACAGACAGGTCCGCGCTGTCTCACGTCAGGACACTCACACATACAGACCTCTCGTTTAGGAGCAGTTTGACGCGAAAACAAAAGAGGAAAACCTTCCGACGCGGCGCATAATGAAGACTGTGTGTTCGAGTTAGCGCACATTAGCACCAGGCGGCTAGTTAGCGCAGAGATAAGTGAGAAAACAACGAGCCCGCGTGTTGTTGTTGTTGTTGTTGTAGGACTTCGTTAAATAAACAATCCCGCGGGCCACGCTGTACCGTGTTTTTAATCCCGCCGACTTTTTTCTGTTGACCAAAACAATCCTCCTTAACTTGATTGTGCTGTCGAGCCGAGATCGAAAGTGTACCCGCTAAAGTCGTACGAGCATCGACGCCTCTGATTGGCTGATACGCGGTTGACGCTCAGTAATGTCGTTAGCTATTGGTTGACGTGCTGCCGTTGGCTGCCGTTGATGTTTTATTTTATTTTTTATTTTTTAAATTTTTTTTTATTTTAAAAACATCTATTTGACAACATTTAGGGAATTACATTAATAAAACTTCAATTAAAATTACAAAAACGATTTTAAGTTAAATTCAAGACATGAGGAGAAAAATATATTTTTTTTAAAAACCGTTAACTCTTAAATCGCGAATATCCGACGAGTGTTTTGAGATTAAACATCTTAATATAATATTTCACTACTTTGTATTATGTCTGTATATTGAGAATCTAACATATTTTTATTCAGTTAGGTATTCAATACATTTCAAAACAAAACTGTACGTTCACCAGGTACTTTTATTTTGAAAAGGACAACGGAAGTCACAGTTAATGTTTATACTACCAGTTTAGTCACTTTGTATGTTATTACACTCAAATGTTGCAATATGAAGGGTTTAATTTAAACTTGACAGCGAAAAAACACACCAACACAACCATTACACTCTATTATAATACTTTGATAGTATATACATCCATTTAAAAGACATATTTTCTTGTCGTAAATGTTCAGGTTATTTTAAATGTGGTACAGCATGTTTAAGACAACACAGTCATTAATAAACAGAATACTGAGGGAAGCATGTTTTAAGAAATGTGTTTATTTCACTTAAACAATCCAGACTTTGATTTTGAAATTTTGTTTTCAAGTTTTGAATTGTTCACTTCAATAGACAAATGCGTTTTTCGTACCATTTCCTTCACATTTCTATGTAAGTTTAATTCTTCATCATTCCTACCAACAAGGGGCAAAAAAAGCCACAATATACAAACATTATATTCTCTCTATTTACAAAAATTGGATTCAGTTTGTGGGTTTGAACTGTTTAGTCTAATATTAATTTTACTGTCCTGGATCATTTCCAAAAGATGATTTAGTTCTTTCTGTTTCTTAGACACACACACAAACACACAAAGGTTCATTTCTGGTCTCTCAAAGATAAAAAAAACATCTCCTAATTAAAGCTGATATTTCATCACATTTTCATTTCAACATTGCTCCAAGTTTCTGACCTTTTTCCAGTGTTCACAAGAAAATACATTAATACAATATTTAAACAGTTAGAGGCCAAAATGAGACAAGAGCCATATCGCTTTAAAGTGGAAAATTAAAAGAAATATCACAACACGCAAGTTTAGACTGAGTAGAAGCCGTTTTCAGAATAGATCCCCAGTAACCTCTCACAACATTTAAAAAACATATGTAGCTGTCTAAATGAAACGGCGGATAGTCACTCCTGAAACCTCGTCCAAGATATGAAAACAGAAAGGTTTGTTGTTTCAGTATCGTACGTCCACAGAAGTTGACTCTGTTCTTCTTTACTTGACTTTCTGTAAGTAGAAGAAGTAGAAAGTTATTATTGAGAGGAGACATGTAAAACACCCAAGAGCAGCTCCAAGGTTATAAAATAAAAGCGGACAAGTAGTAAATTTATGTAAAGACATTCAGAATTATACATGTGTTGTTGTGTTGTGTTAGTATTTGAGTATTGTTACCTTGTCTTGTTTATCAGCCTCATCCGAGTCTATGTACAGTAAAATAAAAGACAAAAAGTCAGATACAGAAGTTAAATTGAAATATCTTACTGGATCTTATTTAAAGGGGATACAGTCTTGAACATTCGTAGCATACTAAACGTATATTTTATAAACTCTATTTCAATTCAGTTAATTTTAAGTATGTATTGTATCAAATGGTGAGCCTTATTGCAGCTTTGAATGATTAAATGGCTGCAGAAAAGTATTAAAGTATTATTACTGTATGTACATATAGTTTTTCTACCTGAGCCGGTGAAGGTCCAAGAGACGAACTTGATTAAACCATAGAGCACTAGCGCTACGCCAACCATTGCCATGGAGTCCTCAATAGAGGGAGCACTGAACCCTGAAAAGACAAAAGACAGAATTTAAGTCTTAATTGATTTCTTTTATCATCTTTGTGGTTCAGCTTGATGGAAATAATCAATTTAGAGTCACATATCCCACCAGAGCCATAACATACTACTGTAGTACTGTCGGTGTTAAAATAATCGTATTCCCATACATATATGATAATGTTTTTACTGCCTGATTAAATAAAATGACCATAATCTAACTGAATGAATACCAGTCACTCTATGGTAGTGTGACGGCTGGTGCAGTGAACCAAAATGAACCAAACTCCCAGATAATATCTGGCCTCTTAAGTCAGTTTTACATTAATATATCTGCCTTTGCTAATTCATCCTTTTATATTTTCACTGTCTTGCTACTTATATCAGCGATCTAAAACCACTTAGGCTCTTAAACATAAACTATAAACTCAAAGCTGAGAAGTTAAAGCTGATAAACTCTATTTTGCATCATAATGAACACTAAATGTCTTAAACTACAATATTCTTCCACATTACCAACAGCATTGAGGGTCACGCTGGCCCGTCGTGTGCCTCCGAGATGAACAGCCACACAGGTGACCTCCCCTCCTCTGCCCAGGTCCAGCGTAGCGGTGTCAAGCTCCAGCCGGGTGCTCTGGCTTAAGGTGCCATCCCAGGCCTGCCTGTGGCCCGTTACGCTGCCTGATCCCAGAGACCTGGACTTCCCGTCAGCGCCTTTAAACTCCCAGCTCAGCTCCAGGGAGAGGGGGGCAAAGCCGGACGCCTCACACTGGATGGTCAAAGTCTGGCCGGGAACAGCGAGGGGCAGAGGGGATGGGTGGATGGAGAGAGAGGGGGGTTCTGGGTAGAAGGAGAAGAAAAGACAAGAGAAAATGAATGATAACCATAATAACCTGGTTCCCAGTGAACAGAATGATTTGTTTATGTCAGTGCTGTTTGTCTTCATCCACACAACAACAGTTATTTTCCCTCACCTACAATCTCAAGCTCCACCGCCACCTGAGCCACAAGGTACGGCAGATACACTGTACAAATATACATCCCGGAGTGACGCACTTTAGCTTCCTGCAGGATCAGAGACGCGTTTCCTTTCTCGTGCAAACCCTCAAAGTCCAGTGTGGCCCCTTCTTCTTGTGTATCAGCCAAGCGGTCTGTCTTGCCGTCGTAAGCCAGAACCAATCGTCCGTCGCCTCTGAACTGGTAGCGCCACTCTACGGCGAAACCCGACCCGGATAGAGGGGAGGAGGGGTCGACCCAGAAGCCGCAGTCCAGTACTACTGGTTCCCCGAGTCTGGCCTGCACCGAGACGGTTTTACTGGTCACACTCAGGATCACTGAGGAAACAGACAGTGAGGAGGAGAGAGTCAAACAACCACAGACTGACATAACATCATCATTTCTCCTGTGTGATGAAGTCTTACCGTTGTGCTCTTTCGTTGCTGTGGGAGCCCGCGTGATGCTGGAAATGGTCAGCTCTTTGTTGAGGCCCTGATGGGAAGTTGAAAACCAATCAGCTTGCAGGTATATGGGGCTTAAGGCGGAGTCTGTGAGCGGAGCAACCCATTTGAGGCTGGAGGGCTGCGGCAGGAAGGGGTTGATCTCACACTGGGGCTTCGTGACAGAGCCCCTGGGAGGGTTCAGAGAGGGGTGGCAGAAAGTGCCAGCTGGGTCTGAGGAAAGAGGAGTCCGAGTCAGGTAACTCATATATATTGTCTAAATTTGACAAGAGAGAAGTAACTTTAACTAAAGCGGGAGAATATGGAAAGATAAACATTAGGGCTGAGAAAACATGAAATTGATATGAGAACACTTTTTAAATTGTTTCTGATAAATTCAACTTAATATCTGATAAAAATAAAAAATATATATCCATGGAAACATATAAATTACCTTCCACTGAAACTGCTCACTCTGAAATGCATATAACTGTATATTACACTGGTATTGAACATACTACATATTGTTTCTGTACATATGTAACTGTCCATCTTCCTTGTAAATACAATTCACTTTTTATGGTTTTATTCCATTCTTTTTTACAACTGCATTTCATTGTACAATCCTTAATCGTATAATGACAATAAAATTGAACCTTGAACCTTGAAATGTGGCCACAATATGGCCGAGTGCAATATGCAAATTGTTTGATAAATTCTTCTGTTCTGAAGAGATGCCCTGGCTTACAAATCTTGTTCTCCGGATTTAAGAAAATGTTGTTTGGTACAGAACTACAAATAGTGAGGCAAAAATGATCACATTAATCTTGAATCATACTGCAATGGCAGATTCTGTCAATATTCGCAATATGATGTTTATTTCTGCTTATTGATGACGCCTTCCGACATCTGAATGCCTGACAACAATGTACATATAATTGATCTTATTGTTCTCCCTGAAGCAGAGGAGCATGGACCCACCCACACCACACAACAACACCACACACACACACACACCCACACAAACACACACACACACACACGGATCCAAAATGATACACTGTATATAAAGAAAGGATAACTCTCAAACACACCTAAATAAACAGGTAGTTACATATCTTATTCAGTGTGTCACTTTAAACTAACCGGTAATATAGTAGACTCTGTCAGGGTTGATGTCCGACGGGGCCTTCTGGGACTCTGCACTGTGGCTGTGTCCATCTTTTCGGATATGAAGCAGGGATTTTTCCTGGCTTGTAGCTGCAGTTAAACCTCCTCCTCGACCCACTTTCTCCTGCACAAACCAGCACTCCAACACTGGACAGCTGCTGCTGCATGCTTTGGACAATCGATATAACAACAAACTAACAATCATTTCAAAAATACTGTTAACAGGAGAATAAAAGTACAATTAATCTATTACTAATATTCTGATATTATAGTAAATAGCAATTTGTATTCTTCAGTTGCTAATATATAACAAAGAATCCTAATTTTATCCTTTCAAAACCTAATACAGAATCAATCATAGTTATGTTAAATAAGGCATCTTGCAGTAGTTAATGTAATAAAAAATACCAAAATGTTGAAGGACTTCTGACTGGCACTGAGTCTAACATGCTATTGGTTTTACAGGAATTAAACCCTGACAATCAGAAATAAAACAAAAACTGTGATTATCTCCTGAGAAGCACATAAGTTGTGGTTGACTGTTCCTTTTAGTGTTCAGTGTGACTATTGCTTTCAGTTTAACTTTTTCATGTCCGTGTCTTTGTGACTTCGACCAAGTATTCTGACAAAATGCTCCGGATCTGTTATTCTAAGAAATACATTTCGCCTAAAATGTCCCTTTTATTTTCTGTCAGTTCAGCTGTCTGAGTTATATTAATTAACTGAGGTGAAGACACCGTGAGGAGTTGTTGCTCTTCCGCCACCAGTGGATGTACCATTCCCAGCCACGAGAGGGCGCTTCGAACCAAACTCCATTTAAAAACATACTATAATTTAACGTTATCTATGTTAAAATTGAGATGAATGATGACTAGGAAATTAATTTAGACATTTTCTTACTTGACTGGACCTTATGGTAAATTCGGCGTGTATGTTTCATGAAGAATCACATGATAAAATACTTAAATTAAATTACAACTTACAGTTAAAGTTTGAGTCGTTTTGCAGCCTGCCCGTCTTTGTCAAATTATAGCAGACAGCTGTTTATCTACATTTAGATTGTCTGAAATGATGCATGATTCTCAAGTATATACAAAAGGTTTTAAGTAATAATCCCAAAATGTACTGCAGTTAACGACATACGCACTAACATTTTTGAGTTTGTGTTATTTCATTATCTACAGGAGAAAACAAGCATCGGGCTGCAGATATAGTACATAAGCATTGAACTCTACAACTCTAAATACTCTATTTCATGTATTTGGTCAAGGAAGCACCGCAGCAGAGCGAATATACCCACAGATAAAGACAGATATTAGCCTCACGTTACCTTGGATGAAGCAGAAAACTGCAACCAGGGACAGTTTGTAGATTGTAGAGAAGTCAGTCATGGTTTTATGTCTTCTTTCTGCTGCGATGTGCTGCTCGTTGCTGTTAATCTCTCAAAGAAAGCTGAGTTTGGATCGTTGGTTTTCCCCTTCAACTCCGGGTTCATTTAAGTTTCACTTTCAGTCCGTCAAGGTATTCCGGTCATAATTTCAAAATAAAGACACTTTACTCAACATTGAGCGCTGTTAAAGGTAAAGTTATAACTAAAAAACAAAATACACTTGAACCTCAAAGACAAACCCTTTACCAGAACATGAAATCAAACGCTGATTGAAATAGTAATAAATAACTGTACAATGAGAAGTTCTCCACGTTTGCAGGTAGATGGCGCCCTCTGGCAAGCAATAATCCACCTTGGTCTGGACTACTTGTGTCCTTTCTGCTTCCTCAATCTTTTTATCAGCAAAAATTACGAGATTTTATCATAAGCAGTGGGTTAGACTGTGTGCACAGCTGCAGAATTTAATGCAGAAAAGGGAAGCAGGTGAGTATAATCCAGTTTTAGAGGTCAGAAACAACCACTAATCACACATACAACCTTTGTTTTTATCTACCACTTA